CAGCCGCCGGCTGAGAAGAAGAGACATGAATAGGGATGCAAAAAAACATGAAACCCTAATCCAATATTTGCTCCATTAATAGAGAGCGAGGACTTGCCCACCAAGTAACTTTTCCAATCTTCAAAATAGCTATATTCCATAAACGTCATAAGTCCCATTAACTTTCTACTGTATCTATGCTTGGTGGGCAAGACACAGTCGGTGCCAATCAAAATCACCACTCCAAACCGAACCAAACCACTTTGTTAAGCGTTTGCTGTTCAATTACATTTTATCACATTTGTATCAAAAGGAAAAGGAAAAAAACTTTTATTATTGAATAACCTAGCTTCTTTTGACTTGTAATTTACACCACGCCCAAACCCACGTGTCGATCTATAAATGGCGTAATACATACGGTTTATGCTACTCACGATTCCTATTTAAGACGTGCTAAATAAACTCTAGTCATATAACTTTATCCTTCTAACTTCTTTCCTATATAAATAAATAAACTTCGATTTAGTTCTTTAATTCATTTCCGTTTAAAGATGTTTATAGCTTTAGTTCTTTTGGGAGCTCGAAGACGAAAACTCTGTCTACTCTCTCTAATCGTAAATGAGAAAATTCAATATATTTTAGGTGATTAACATAAGCATGTACCGATTCTACAACAATGAATCAAATGAATTCGCCTACATGGGGCTTGGGTTCGGGGACAAAGCAAATAGAGAGCGAGAGGTGTCAAGAGGAAAAGAAAATGATTTTTAGAAAGAAAAAAATGTGAATTTTAGAGGAATATATTTTCCTATCTTTTCCTCATGAGCTAGTTGAGAATTTAATTGTTTCTCTTTTCTCTCTAGTTAACCTTCTTTTCTGATTTTTGGCAAAATAAAATTGAAACAAAAAAAAGAAAGAAGAAGAAGATGAAATCCTTATATTTGATTGGTGAAAACAAAATTGCATTTAGAGTAAAAACTCATTGCTACTGAAAATGTACTTCAGTTTGTAGTAAACAAACCAGTCAAAGTCTAAATAGTGCTGCATGAATCTTTGTAATGGTCACTATTCGTAGAATAGCAAGTTCAATGATAAACATTGACTAGAAAAAATTGTATGATTAATAGTTCTTTCATCGCGTCCGTGAATCTAATATTGGGCCGAGAAAACATAATGGACCTCTAATTTGCAGAACCGTTTTATTTAATAAATAACCATTCTTCTTTTCCCTCTTAAAACTTGTAGTGATATTTTAATTTGATTTGAGCATGTACCAAATAGGTCTGAAAAGAAGAACCTTTAGACTTGGAGTATATCATAACGAAAAAGTAAAGAGGTTTATCAAAACGCAACGTGGGATCAAGTAACGTGTAGCAAAACTAGGACATGTAAATTTTATGATCTTCTCCCACAAAAAAAAATGAATAGAGTATTTTCATTTGGTTGTAAAGTAATTATAAACAAAAAATATTTATAATAACGAAAAAACTAAAGAGGTTAACGTGTAACACAACTAGGACATGTAAATGAAAACCAAAACATATGAACATCTATTACAAATTTTATGATCTTCTCCCACAAAAGAAAAAATGAATAGAGTATTTCCATTTGGTTGGACAGTAATTAGAAACAAAAAATATTTATGAGACACATATATAAAGACTAACATAGTGTTACTTAAATGAAGGTTTACTGATCAAATCAAGGTTTACACATGAATATTTGGAAAAAAAAAAAGTTTACACAAACATTAAATAACGGGAAAATGGTCAATAAAATACACAATTATTATGTTTTTACCAAAAAAGTACAAATTTGTTAGTAAGGATTAAAAATGTTATAAGAATCTCTCTAATTATAGGCATACATACCTTTGAAGCAGCCCTTGTAGTAGAAAAGGACTGAAGATTGGTTTTCTTTGAATGAAGAATATAACGAATGAAGAAAACCCTAATGTGAATACCATAAATAGTCAATATCACGTTACATAAGGTATAACCAGAAAAATTACATAGGATGGTCAAAATGTAAACAGAGATAAATTACCAAAGGTTTAATCTAATCGACACGCTTTTGTTTTGGATCATAAAAAAATAGATAAATTGTATAAGGCTTCATCTTTTAGATGCTTCAGCCATCACAGGTGTCACACTGACACACTTCATGCAAAAACATTATCTTATGCAACACAAGATTTAATTTCTCTGAGCAAATGGTTATCAGGACAAGGGATCTATTAGTGAGGACCTATAAAGATAGCAATAGGCGTAGGTACCTTTGAAGCAGTCCTTGTAGTAGAAAAGGACTGAAGATTGGTTTTTTTTCTGTTGAAATGCCAGGATAAATTTTAGGGTTTATGACTGAAGAAGTTGCTTGGACATGCATCAAACCAAAATATATTCAAATTAACCAATAAATTAATATGTCAATTTTTTAGATAAAATTTTGAGATTTATGGGGCTTAATCGATGATATTTAGGTGATTGGGAACAAATGGGACTCACATACCTTGACCTTCTCCAGGCTCAGTACTCTAAAGGGTAAGCGATTGTAGTGCTCCTTAAATTTGATTACTCTGGTTTTAACTTAAAAGACTCATATGGATGGATGGATATGAGATTTTGTATGGTTTCTGACATCTTATGTTGAAAAGACGATAAAGTGAAGTATGAAATTAGTATGATGGTGTTTATGGTTTTGGTGTTCTTGTATAGTCGAATGGATTGCATTTTGGTTTATATGATCATCTTGCTTTATTTGTTCGTTTGAACTGTATGATCATCTTTGCTCGGCATAGGCAAAGATCTCCTCCATCGTGAAAAACTTATGTTAACTAGGCCATTTTCAGATATACACCTTTTTAGTCACATGGCTAAATCATTGTTCACACGAAATCACATGCTAGTCATATTTATTAATAACATCATGCGATGTGTATTCTCTGTCACTCTACTGTTTATTTGATTTTGTTTATATAAAGTTATAAACTATACCATATACCCATGCAAGCATGAAATATTACTAAAATCTAGCTAGTATCATATATATATATATATATTTTTTTTTTTTTTGATTTTTCTCTAGGTAATTTTGTTTGTTTGTTAACTATGGAAATATAATAGATGATCAGAAGTAATCTCATGGCCTATAGTAATATAATAGATAATCCAACATAGCAACCACAATATTAAAGATTCAAGAACCGAAGATGCATTTCTATAAACAGAGCCTTTTCTTGGAATATTTTTTAAAAACTTTAGTTCATATCTTCTTTCCAGTGAATAAATTCTTGCTTCTACAATTTTCACGTACACACGTGTGTGTACTACTCTGTAATTTGCTAGAAAAATAGTATTGCTCTGTTTCTGTATGTTTTAAACGACAGCGTTTTGCGCTCTAACGGCGCCGTTTCATGATGACTCGAGAGTTTATTTCCGTCTTCCTCGCGCGTCAATGATTGAGAATTGAGCCGAATCATCATCGTCTCAGAAATTCACAGAGAAAAACCTAAAATAAATCTCGAAATTCGAAGTCGATTCTTCCATTATCAGATCGAATTTCATTCCCAGCGAATTGCTTCAAGGTAGAATCAGATTACTAAGATCGAAGGAGGGCCATTGATGATGCTCCGGCGTCATCCGCTCCAACCGGTGATGGTGCTGCTTCTTCCTCCCATGACCCTAAATCTCGTTGGACGTCAAGCAACAACGATGGTGGAAGCAGTAAGAATAACAACAACAATAATAGCAATAGCAAGCCGACGACTGGTGGTGGCCAGAAAAACGCCGATCCGAAACTGCCCAAGCCGAATCCTTCTCCGGTACCGAACCAATCCCATCCGAATCACCCCAATCCAACAGCTCAATCTTCACGCCCCGCGCCAGGTTCTGCTTCTTATCCATTCCCAGATTCGTCGGGACGAGAGAGGTGAGATGCTGAGGCAAAGACAGCAGTTTATGCATTACGCGAATCCTAATAATGATCAGTCGCTTATGGCGGGGACGAGTAGTCCGTTCCGGCGAGATGTTGGAGAAGATGCCAGAGCAGCTAAGCATATGCGGGTAGGGTCAAGTAGACATGAGCATGGAGGTCAGGAGCCTAAGCATTTCCAGGTCAATGACCAGGCTGCGATAAAGAAGTCGTTTTTGGATTTTGTTAAGCGAATTTATGAGGACCCGTCGGAGAAGAGGAACTACTTGGAGAACGCGAGTAAAGGCCGGCTTCAGTGTCTCGTCTGTGGCAGGTTTCAATCTTTTTCTTGTGTTTGCTTTTTGCTTAGGTGCAGTTTGCTTGTGTTGGAGACTCTTATTGACTTGTTCTTGGTGGTTGCTTTAGTTGGTCAATTGCGTCTTAGATGGCTAAATGAACATGACGAAAGTAAGAGAGAATAGAAAACTACCTGGAATATTTTGTTACTTTCGGTTTGATTAGTATGTTAAATTGTGTCTTCAATTGTGCTTTAGTGTTTCTTGTTTTGAGAGCAAATTGTGTACTATTCCTGATTAGCTTAACGTTGTTTGCTTCCATTCATATTGTTCCTTGTTTACCATATGTTTAACATTACCATGATCTGGGTAAATTCCCTACCGAAAAGCCTCTTAGATTATTCAACTCAGCGATATTACTTTGATATTAGGTGTTATTCAACTTACTTCTCGTTCTTTGCACCTGCTACTACTACCTTGACTGCTCTTTTGCTGCCTTTCAAGCAGTAAAAGTTTGCGAGTTTTCTTACTGCAGCCTGGCTTAAATTCATTTTAAACCTTATGATATTAACTGTATGATTCTGATTTCCCTTAGTTTTAAACCTTAGACTACTGTATGCATAATTTGTGTGGTGAATCTGAATGAGTGTTTCCAATTCGACTTATGCTAAAACACAGGTGTCCTAAAGACGTCCAGGATACACATGGTTTGGTAATGCACGCATACTGTTCTGAGGATGCTAGCTCACGCGTGCATCACTTAGGCCTACACAGAGCCCTCTGTGTACTGATGGGATGGAATTTCTCAAAGGCTCCTGATAATTCAAAGGCGTACCAGAATCTACCTGCTGAAGTGGCAGCCATCAATCGAGACCAGCTGATCATAAGCTTCATCCGGCAAACCTCATGAATCTTGCATTGGTTAATCCACACCTTAGGATTCTCTTCACCTTTTGTCCTTCATTATACTTAAAAGTAGGTTACCAGAGCTTTAGAGATGACTGCTCTAGTCTTAATGATGTGGCATCGCTTTGTTATCCCAACTAAGTGCCACCATAATCATGTCCTTGGTCCAAATCCCTCTCTTTGACCCAAAAGGTGTTCTTAAGTAGTCTTTCACCTAACAATATTGTGTTACCATCTGACATTTCTTTTCAGACACATCCTTCACTTTCTTTCGATCCCTGCCTGTTTCTCTCTATGTCTCTGTGGTTTTCTGAATCGGAGGTTGTTATTACTTTCCGTAGAATAATGTCCAACTCTGGTCTGAACTTTTTTTGACTACCTTCCAATATCAGAATCTAGTAAAATGGTGGTCTAAGAAGTACATAAGCTTCTTCAACAGAACTTTGTTGGGTCACCATTTCACTGGCCTTTTCTATAGGATCTCAGCTTCTAGTTTCAGAACTTCTGCTATGTTAGTCACAGTAGGTTCCAAAATGTGCAATCTGACTAGGCTAATGATTAGTCTGCTCATACTAGTATCTAGATATTAACAAATTCTTCTCCATTCTTGTTCTAGCATTTCACTGCAGATAATTGTGATCCTCATTAAACATTGTTGAGCACTGAATGTGCAGGCCAAAGTTCTACAGGCTTTAGAGAGCGCAGGTGTTTTCACATCTGGTGGTTTGGTCAAAGATAAGGTACTCAATCAAGCTTTCTCGTACAATCTTATCAAAGCATGAGTAACCATAACCATATTGTGACATGAAAAACTTTGCAGGTCCTGTTTTGGAGCACAGAGGTCGGAAGAACATCGTTTGTCAGGCAGCTAGAGCCTGACAAGGCATATCGATACAAACCCAGAAATCAACACACAAGTAGCTGTAAAGTCCTTTCCTTTTTATGTTTAAAGATTTTTACATTCTCTTGTATTGGTTGTAGTTAAACTGATGTCTCTCTTATTGGCTTTTGTTTGCCACGAGACTTCGACAACTGGAAGCCAGGAGACTTCGCGCTCGTGCAATTGGACTTCACCCGAGGTCAAATCTCGCGCTCAGCTTCTCTCTTCACAGAACAAGCTCCTCTTCAAATCCCATAACCTAAGAATCTCGGAAGCCTACGACGACATCATCCCTCCTCAACCTGTAGATCCGAGAAAAAGAATAGACGGCGTCGTTTTTGACTGTTGGGCTCGTTTCCTGAAGCCGACGAATTGAGGTTTTGTGCCCCAGAAAGATGGGAAGGCGTGAGGTGTTGGATTATAGAGGAGAAGAGGACTAGAGGAGAGGAGAGGAGAGTTTTGGGTTTGGGAAGCCGGAGAATGTTACAAAGTCGAAGTTAGGTTTGAGGACATTGTTAGCTGCTGCGTCAATGGCGTCCCTGAGATCAATGCATTTCTTCTCAAGGTAAACTTTCTTACTCAATTCCCTCCAAAAGCTCTTAATTTGATGCCCATAATGTGTTTGTGACAATGCGCATAAAAAAGTGAGACCCTTGTGTTGTTCAGTACCTTGAATAATAGATTTGCTTGTGTGTATATCAATAGGATTTTGATTTCAAATGGATTCGCACTACTGATTTCTCAGGTTTGAAATCAATAGGGATATCTTCTTGCTTTTTCGAAGACGTCCACCAAGGTTCAACGATAAAACTGCATTTGCCACTGGAAGTCAAATTGTTCCTCTCTTGAATGCTGTTGATCTAGGGACAGAGCTTGCATATGAGATCCTCTTCCAACTCAATTCAAGATTGAGCGAGCAGAACATAATGAGTTGTCAGAGAGCCTACGTCACACCTTCAAAGGTTTATCTGCTAGGTCCAGAGGTTGAGGCTTCTAATTACGTTGTCAAGAACTTCGCAGAGCATGCTTCAGACTTCATGAGAGTTACGTTTGTGGAAGAAGATTGGAGCAAGCTTCCAGCGAATGCTCTCTCTGTGAACTCCAAGGAAGGTTTGAGTTGTTGGCTTTTTCAGCGAGCCAGCTGCTAGGAAACTCTGTCTGGATGGGCTGTTTCCGTAAAATCAGAAGCATTTCTAAATGTGCTGCTAGGATGGGACAGTTGTTCGGCAGACACTTCTCGTCCGTGCACAAGATGTGGAGCTTATTCCCGACGTCCAAGTGACTACTGATGGTGCTGATTACAGCTTCTCTGATGGCATTGGGAAAATCTCATTGGCCTTTGTAAGCAAGTCGCACAGAAGTGTGTGGACTGAGTCATATCCCCTTCAGCGTTTCAGATTCGATACGGTGGCTGCAAAGGTGTGATTGCTGTTGACCGGAGTTCCTTCAGAAAGCTGTCTCTGCGTGAAAGTATGCTCAAGTTCGAGTCCAACAACAGGATGCTTAACGGAAGAAGAGAATCTGATACCTTCCGGCATCTTCAGGACTGAATTCAACATCTTCACAACCCAAGCTCGAGGGGAATGAGTGGGAAAAGGAGAAGAATCGGAGAGAGAGCACGAGACACGGAGCTTTCCGGCGGCGCTAATGGAGACGGAGCGGTGGTGGTGGAACGATCGGAAATGAAGAGATGAAAATGGTGAGTGAGAGTAGGATAAGGCGGGAATAGAAGGTACACCAAATGATGGTGAATTGAGATTAGGGCTTCTGAGTATCGAAGACGCCATTGCAAGGAACACCTAAGCGAAGAGAGCTCAAGAGAGAGAGATGATAGTGGCGGTGACGACGGCACTGTGTCTGGTTACTAGTCAATGTTCCCGAACCGAAACCAAACCAAGATTCTGAAAATATCTCCGGCGCTTTGATGGATTCTCTTTGCACGACAATTCCGCCGCCGAAGTCGCCGCTTTTCTTTTTGTTCAGGAGTATTATACTCAATCAGCTGATAACAAGTAAAATTCGCCAAAGTTGAATTTCTGGATTCGTATAGAATAAGGTTCTCATATCTCCTGCAATGCTGGTTTTAGATTTAGTAATCTGATCTTTAGCTTTAACTTTTATCTTCATTGGTTAGGTGTCTATGCCAAATCAGAGTTTCAGGAAGACGAACTCATTTTGAAGGATCAAATTCTTGTTGGTATGCAACATTCATCCAACAAGGTGACTTTTTCGTTTGTGTTCTTCTGAATTCACTTTTTTTTTTCTCGTGTGATTCACACTTTTTCTCCACCTAAATTTGCAGATGGACTTAATAATTATATTAATACAGGCAAGCTTGTTACTTGATAAACCTACACTTTTTGCCCTTCGTCATTCAGTTGTTAACAAAAAAGTCATCTTTACATTATCTGTTTAGTAACAACAAAGCTTTGTATTACCAAAATAAAAAACAAAAACAAAAAAAGCTTTGGTTTATCATGCTACATTGCCTTCTATCATCAACGAAGTCCAAAACTAATTCAATGCGTCACTTCAATACTAAGAGTCTAAGACGAATCTTTTGAATAGCCTGTAACAAGCTTATACGACTCCCCTGTAACATGTGTATGATTATTGGATGCTATTTAGTTTAGAATAAACGTAATCGTTGTAAACCTTAGAGAAAGATCACAGCTTAGCGATCGCGGATTCGCTTCCAAGACACCTTCAAGAATCTGAGCCCACTTGACTCAAGTCATATGACATTTTCAAGACATTTCTTTTTCCTCCCCCTGCAGCAGTCGCATCATTCTGCGAGGTAGGCGCGGCCAAAAGGCTCTCGCGCGTTATCTCTGGTCGCTGGGTGTTGTATGTAACTCGCAGGATGCTGACTCGAGGAACATTCTCTTCATCTCAATCTATTCCTTCTCCTACAAGTTATTTCTCTCCAAGCCTAATTTGGGACTTGGAACTCATACTTCTCTTTGTAAAAGTTTCCTTGAATCACGAAACAGAGGCATAGGGTTGTTTTCACAGTTCTGAGGTTTCGGCTCATTCAGTTTACATAATGCAAAAGGCTATTATGTCGTACTAGTCGTACTCGTTCATGAACAATCAACGAGAGTCAGCTTTCAGAAGGATGAATTTCAGTTAATCCGTGATGAGAAGAAGGAATCACCAAGCGAAAGCGGCCGAAACCTTAGAGAAGACCAATCCGCAAATTGGGTTCACGTTTCCTGATCCTTCGAGGTCTCAAGCACATTCACTTTTACGCCAAAGTATTTCTTATCCCTTTTCTCTACATAATTCACGTTCGTGATATCCATCATATTCATCTTCATAATCATGGTCCTGAATCATGTTTCACATCCACACAACTGTTTATAATAAAGGATAAATCGGCAGAGAAATAATTAAATTATGCTAAAATACTATCGAGATCTAGCGAACTCTTCCTTCGGGTTCACGAGCTTCATGTTATATTTGAGCTTTATAGTCCACAGTCATTAGTTTGCAAGATATGCATATGCATCTTGCTTCCCAAGTTACCTCCGACCGAAAGGTTTAAAATGAAAGTCAAGGAGAACACAAATCACATCAAGAAAACAATGAACTACTAAGTAATATGGTTCGCTAGAAAAGACTCTGCACATATATAGCTTGTCAAGTACACTAAATCTATCTCCTTCAGTTTTACTCTTAACATTTGGTTTAACCATTTTAACTATGGAAAAAAACTCACAACGGAAGCAGAAACGTGCCTTATTAATAGTTATTAATGTATTCTTCATGATCTTGACAAGATCACCATCTCCACCTTCCACAAGCTCAGAGAATACTTCCCTGAAAAGTCAACATCGATTCGTTGGTTGGTCAATTTGGTGTCGAGTCAAAGGAATGCACGTTAAATTGTTCTTTCACTTCCAGGCGCATACAACTGTTTTGTAAGCTTACAAATCTTTTACTTTTTTTTTTTTCTCTCTAGATGATAGTATTTTCTTATATCCTTTTAGGGCACTAGCTAGAAGATCAATTATAGCTGACAAAAAAAAAATCATTCTAGCATTATCCCATTATTAAATAGTCGAATACACAAAATTTGCAAACTTCTAATTAAAATTATAATAATATAAATAAATCCCGAACTCAAACTTGTGTATTATAATCATACATACATAATGGATTCACTACTATGTTATATGCATAGTGAGATAGTTATATATTTAAATGATCGAACAACAACAATATTTTATCTGAATAGAAATCCGAAAACAAACCTATGATATTTGTATAAATTGATTTTTATAGATCTTATTATATAAAGGTAGATGCACGCGATATGGTTGTGACATGTAATATTTTTTAAATTTATAGGATCATGACATGTATTTTTTATAATTATGAAAATACTAAGATGTGATATATGTCATGGAATTAAACAAATAAAATAATATATATAAGAGCAATGAAAAATTAGAAAAACAAGAAACAAACAAATTTCAAAGAAAACAAATTATATACAATAAGAAAAGGAAGAAAAAGACATATTCTCATTACTAAAGGAAACAAAAAATAATATGTAATAAGTTATAACATTCATGATTTAACTTTGTGCTTCTAACTTTTGTTTAAACGTTCTCTTTTATTGAAAAATAAAAACCATGTCTTTGAAAGTTCAAGATACCAATGAAGAATATTTAATTATAGATCAGTTAGATTGAAATCGAATTTTTTGTCACAACATGTGTCTAATATTTGATAACGCTGTGACATGTAATAACATAATTAGAAAGCTTACCAAATAAAATATAATAAAACTCACTAATAATCTGACGCAAAAAAAAAATGAAAAAGAAACAATATTAAACTGACAAAATAATTTTAAAGCAACTAACTTGTATTAAAAAGAAAAATTATAACGGACCAAAATTCTTATTTTAAATAATTTAATTTCAATTTTTTGTTAGTTAAACAAGATTAAAAATATTTTATCAATTGAAATCTCTTGAATGAAATAATCAAAGTTTCATGAATTAATTAGTCGACATGTGTAAGGCTTCTATATTGGATACAAGTAAAAATAATAATAAAATAATTTAATTTTCATATCATGAATTCTTGAAATTTACTGCAGGTAAATGAGAGTTTTTATGTTCTTGAAATTTACGTTTCCGTTTTTGTTTTTTTTTTTTTAATTTCTAAAGTTTGTCTGCTGCTGTTGTATAGTGGATCTTGCGCAGAGGCAGATTGGGAAAGTTCACATTCTTTATTTTGCACTGGTGAGAAGTCTGAATCAGTGTCTAGAGATGCGCTTGCAGAGTTTATATCTTAGTGTCTAATGGTAAAATTGTTGTTTAATTAGTCTCTTTGAATCTTGGCTTTTTTCTGTCTTACTGCTGATAAGTGTATTTATATCTTTTCATTTCTTGATTTTCAGAGACAAATGATATCTTTTTCCTGGCTGCATCAAGACCCATCAGCAAGAACGAAGAGGTAGATATCTTTTTTTTCTTCTCTAGCTCTACCATAGTAATAGAATGTTTTTACAAAAAAATGGATGGCTTAGATTGCGAGAAAGGAAGACGATATAAGACGAACTGAATTGGATTTTGTTAAGTAGAAATCTATTGAATCTGATAATATAAAATGTACTTGTACTAGTAAACTATGGCGTTTAGGTGGAAACTAAGGAAGGGTCAATTTTTTGAGGTGGGATATGGTATGGGGCCGGGAGTGTAGGAGACCGAGTAATGACGGAGGAATACTTGGAGGAAATGTCCAGAAAGATAGTTCCACATTCGTCGACGTCTATGATTCTGACCATGTTAGGTTCCAGTTTGGGGAAGGAGCTAGCATGAACACAGAAAGGTTCAGAATTGGAGACGAAAATGACGAGATCTCCAATGTCTTGAGTGTAAACAGCGTTTCCTTGTTGGTCAAGCTTGAACACCATCAAAGCTCTCGTCTTCAACCTCCAGAGACCCTTGGCGGCCTTCCTGTACCACTTGACCATGAAAGTTTCTCCAGTGGTTCTTGACTCCACGAGGTGCTCCGTTGTGAGACACGAATGCAAAAGCTCCCGCTTGGCCTTGGTCAGCTCGGGGAGGTTTTGAAAACGTAGCCTCTGGATCTTGTGTTTGTGTTTTTTGCTGAGATCCCATGAACCAATCACGTGTCCTCCAGCTCCGGGAATGCGGAACATGCCATCTCCCTCGGAGAACATGACCCGGGAGGAGAAGAAACATGGGTTTGCGACTCTGATGTTGGTCCACTCACTCTTAGCGGCGGCTGGCCTGCAGAAGCTGAGCTGAGGTCCCAAGAACTTGACAGCCACAACGCAGTCCTCATCACTCTCCGGACAAGATGAGGACAGTGACACGTTGGTGACGATTTGGGTTTGGCAACGTGGCAGAGTCACAAGAGGAGGCAGCGGGATGCGTTTCGGATCTGTCCCGGAGGCAACAGGGTTTAGGTCATCTTGGAGACGGAGGACTCCGTCGTCCTTGAGTGTAGCTATCCAGCCGTGAGATGCCCCGATCGTTACCCTTGTTTCTCTAGACGTCAACTCAAGAGGCACCTTCTTTTCCAAGAGAGTGGATTTATTTTCATTCGCATTGTAAATCTCGAGTCTTCCCATCTCCTCCTCTCCACAAGCTTCAGCGCGGATGATGAGACAAGGAGGAGTCCAAGTTGAGAAGCCATTGGAGAAAACATGACCAAGAAGAGATGCTTTTCTTCTTACCATCGTCAGCCGCCGGCTGAGAAGAAGAGACATGAATAGGAATGATGTTTCTTTGCTTAATGCAAAAATAAAAAACAGAAAAACCCTAATCCAATATTTGCTCCATTAGTAGAGAGGAATGAACTTGCCCACCAAGTAAGTTTTCCGATCTTCAAATTAACTATATTCCATAAACGTCAAAGCCCCATAAACTTTCTACTTTTTGTAACGTGAAGGATTACTTGCAGACTACGGTTTCACCTTCAACTGTCCTAAATGTCTGCAAGATTCATCAGTAGCCTAAGGTTGTTCTTTCATAAGAACATAATTTTTCAATTTTGCCTATTTGAAACTGGTGGTTACTCAAATCAACTCATGTGGGTAGGGAATTTTTCTCGATGGAGTAAGGTTTTTTTTCCGCTTTGGACAAGTGTCAATGGAGAGTTTTTGACAACAATTCTCCACTTTTATTGTGAGAAAGGAAAATGAAACAAGAATAATTGAACTGAATTTTGTTAAGAAGAAAAACAAATTATGTCGTGTCTAATTCTCGCTATAAAATCATTTTTGGCAAATCTATTTTCTTTGGGTTTATAAATTTCTGGTTCTCTTAAGAGGGGGATCTTGTTAATATAATAACCACTTGAAAAGAAACATCAATGAAACCATCCAAGTGAAGAATGTCAGTCGGGCTATCAATAATATCACTAAGCTTCTTCTATGAATAAACACTTCAAAGAAGTCTCTGATCTGTTTTCTTTAATCACAATGTAAGATGTAACAACTATGGTTAAACTATCATGGTGTAGATGAAATTCTCAACATCACAACTACAAGGAGAAAGCTTTTTGTCAAGTCTTCAATACGACAAAAAAAAAATCGAATATTGTATGATAGAAACAAATTCATAATAAACCAAGTCTTGTAACAATAGAAAACATAGAGTCAATGAATGAAAAGGAGATGATGCAAATATAAATAAATAAGGTATTTTAAAAAATAATTAAACATACTAATCTCGGCCTTGCTTGATTTGCACCAAACTTGGAACATAAGAGCACACAAGAGAGCGACAATAACGCACAACTTCAAGGTTCGCAGCATCTCCGATATCCACTTTTCTCAAGAATCCCTTGTCTCCTATGATATGAGCTATGCTGCGTTCAAAATCCACAGCGACTTTCTTCTCTTGGTCAATGAAGAAACATCCAAAGTAATGTAATCTAAATCCAGATATATCAACTTTCAAGAACTTCTTCCACTGCATCGGATTGGGCTCATCAATCTTAGCTGTCACCCATATCTCTATCACAGGCAGCTTCAAGGGTTGAAACAACACGGCAAGCTGCTCTTCTCTAACGCAGGATAGAGTCACAGAATGTAAAGGATGAGAGTGAAACGGCAGGGGATGAAATGGTCCAAATCTCTCTCTTGCAAAATCAAAACACACTAGATAGACTTCTCCTCCTTTAGCAAGAAAGTAAGCATTTCCCTTCACTGGCACACCATGTGGATGAAACCTAATATTCCAATAGGAACGTCTGATATCAAGAACCTTCCATGAGTTGGATTCAACATCGAAGATCTCGTACCCGTAAACGTTTTTCACGAACTGGAAATGGTTAAAAAACCTCAAGATCTTGTGGTTACGCTTCTTCTTGTCGTCCACGTATCCGAGAGCATACGTGATGTCGGATATTTGGTAAGACTTGATGGGTTCGATCCATTTGGTTTGTCCCAAGTACGGGTTCCAAACCACGACTCTGTCCTCCTTGGTGAGGCAGCATAACAATAGACCATCGCAATGAAAGACTTTAGATATCTCGGCTTGATAAATGGATCCACAAACTCTTCACTTTCTTTGCTGAGGTCTCCATGGAGACTGAATCTCATTGAACAAAGCCTATGCTCCTTCGTCAAGAAGCCAATAAACTGCTGTTTTGTTTCTGTTTTGCATAGAATATCGTTTTTGGATAAATGGTTCCATTCGTTGCTGGTTGATCTCACTGCTCCTAGAGAAGTTATTGGAAGCTTATAGAGTATCTCTTCTACCAAATCATGCGAAAGGTCAGATATTGTCGCCATTTGTTTCAAAGAGAATTTAGGGTTTTTACTCTCACGCCTTGCCTACTCTTTGACGATTTTATACAAGTGATATGTGCGTCACATAATATATGTCATTTATTTTTGATTGATAACAAAAAAGGAATTTTCTATTTTATACAGTATACAGTTTTCTAAATTTAAACTAGTTTATATAAGTAACATCAGTATTAAAATGGTCATTTTAGTTAAAGTTTTCGGTGCTTATGTTCTTCTCTCTTAAATACAGACCTTAAAATCCGGATTTTAGATCAAATCTAGGATTTAAGATAATTATTTATTATTTTATCAATTATCAGATTATTTGTGATGAACCTAGCTTTTCAAAAGGGGTTATCTACATGAATTTGCTTACAAGTCCATCTCTTTTATAAATTATCACTAGTTCTCCAACAAAAACGTTTTCTAAGCGAATTTGTTATGTTCTCTTTTTTTTATTTTGGTAGGCTGTTATGTTCTCTTTTTTGGATAAAGGATTTAATTTTTTATGTTCTCTACTCTACCAAGATAATTCCACATTTTTAAAGTTTTCCATACTAAGCAATCAATGATAAAAGAGAAATGACAAGTGTAATTTATGGGCACATTTTCTTTTTTTTTTGTTTGATTTTGGAGGCTCGGTGCTTTGAGAACCTTTGCAACCTCTTGAGCACCCACGTCTCCCATCTTCTTCCAATCAAACTTGGCAACATCTTCTTCCATCTTTTGAAAACACCCCCAAGAAAATTCATACACAAAGAGGTTCAAATCCCTAATGTACTTGTATCTCCACTTTTCCATCACAAAATCATGCTTGTACTTCCCATCGAAGACTCTAAGCTTCCCTTCCTCCACTTCTTCAACCAAAGACGGCTTGGTTGGTTGCAAAAGCTTGGCAACATCACTTGCACCCACACCACCCATCTCCTTCCAGGAGAAACTCTCAACATTCTTCTCATTCATCATCTTCATCTCATAACGAACCCCACAGATGAAACACTCAAAAACTCTTTTCATGGCCATTTCTTCTTTTCCTTTGATTTCAAACCGTTTAAGAGAGATGAAACTGTCGGAGAGATGCAAAAGCAAGTATTTGTAGAGAAGAAGACTCTATTTCACAAGGAGAAGACTCAGTCTCTCTCTCTCTTCTCTTTTTATGTATCGTACGGGACATTAGGACAAAACTGAATTAGAGTCTTTCAAATTTTGTTTTCTTTATTCAGTTTAATCCTTTAATCAAATGCTCTGAATTGTTAAATTGGTTTCTTACATTGTTTATTAATCCTTTCATCATTCTCCAAATAAAACACAAGTTATTGATTATTCTTGTACATGCAATTACCATATGAAAAAATATCCGCTTGAGATTTGGGTTTCCGAATTAGACCTATAGAAACCCATCAGTCTTGTCCTCTGTTCAACGAAAATTAATGAAATTAAGCACGCTTTTTCTTTTCTTTTTAGAACATGTGTCTACACATATATTTTGAGATCGTTCAGATTGGAACTCATGATTTTGAATTTTTTTTTTGTTGATTTTGTTTTCAATCCATATTTCTCATAATTTTCTTTTGTTATAAATTCTCAATATCAACTCCATGCTAAACCCTTTAAAGAAAACAAAAATCAAAACCCCATGTTATGTAGTTTTTTAAGATTATTTCAGGCATGCATTTAAATGCAAAAGCATGAAAACCAATTCCTGAATGTTAGGCGGACCCCATCATTTTCATAGGTCCACTTGTATATTAAGATATTAAACTATAATTCTTTTAGATAACTTGAAAATTGTTTTTTTAATGCTATTTGTTTCTTTTAACAATATTAAAGATTCAAGAACTCAATATGCATTTCTATAAACCAAATTTGTTTGTTACTTGAAAATGTAAAAGCTAAGTATTTAAAGGAAGGTTACAAAAAAAATATTTTATAAAAGAAAAAAGAGAAAAAAAAAGCTGAAAATATTTCAAGATAAGGAATAAATACCGTTGAAGGTTTGTGTTGATTCCATTTTTCTTCTCACTACTACTGAAGTCTCCATTGTTGTAACCTCCATTTCTTTGGGACGAACCACTCTTCTCCTCAGCTTTTGTAATCATTATTTCACCTTCCTTGTGAAGCTTTTCAGCCATAAAAGCACATAAACATGTTGATATATAGTATTCATAATCAAGAGAGCTTCTAAATATATGAAGAGATTATTTGAAACCTGATTGGTGACTTGGTGTAAGCATTACTGCAACTAAAGATTCCTCTAATGATATGTCCAGTTCCTCCAGCAATAGCCTTAGCAACAACGTTGTTGTAATCTTCAATCCTCGGCGCAAATCTTTCCAATCGATTCCATTGTTAACTTTACTCGAAGCCGAACACAAGAAACAAGAGTTCTCCTTCAAGAACGTTGAGGTTGAGGAGAAGGGACTTGTCTGGTCGTGTCTTGTTCTTTGTTTCTTGTTCTTGAAGCTTTTGATGGTCCGAAACATCCCCTTTTTTTTCTTGTTTGGTTATTTTCTATTTCTTACAGCGACGCTCCTCTCTTAAGAGGTTTGTAATCTGGAAACAGAGCCTTTTCTTGGAATATTTTTTAAAAACTTTAATTTATATCTTCTTTCGAGTGAATAAATTCTTGCTTCCACAATTTTCCTCACTTTGGGTGAAAAATGGGAACATTACTTTACGAGCATTTACACGTACACATGTGTGTACACACGTATATACGTACTAACGTACACGTGTGATTTAATGCAAGTTCTATGAAAGGCTTGAGAGGTATATTGTATGAGAATTAAACAAGAAGATACAGAGATTTGTATTGAGGGAACAAGGGTCAATCTTGATCGTCGAATCCATAGCTTCAGAACAGTCTTATGTCCTGATTTGGAAAAGAATTTGGATTCATTGTTCTGTGAAAATGACTTTGATACAAGTGATATATGAACATATGGGGATTTGATTTGTAAGGTTAAGCTTTCAGAAGAAGACAATGACCAGTGTGTACGCAATATATGAATGATGTTACTTTTGGTGGGTGCTGGGACTGTATTGCGTTACCGGAGGATGTAGATCCTTCTGAGAATATAAAAACGGGTACATAACATATGTAACATGATGTTACATGTACTTGTACTAGTAAACTATTGCGTTAAGGTGGTAACTAAGGAAGGGACCAGTTGCAAGTCAATTTTTTGAGGTGGGATATAGTATGGGGCCGGGAGTGTAGGAGACCGACTACTGACGTAGGAAGTGTCCAGAATGATAGTTCCATTTTCGTCGACGTCTAAGATTCTGACCATGTTAGGTTCCAGGTCGGGGAAGGAGCTAGCAGGAACACAGAAAGGTTCCGAATTGGAGAGGAAAATGACGAGATCTCCAATGTCTTGAGTGTAAACAGCGTTTCCTTGTTGGTCAAGCTTGAACACCATCAAAGCTCTCGTCTTCAACCTCCAGAGACCCTTGGCGGCCTTCCTGTACCACTTGACCATGAAAGTTTCTCCAGTGGTTCTTGACTCCACGAGGTGCTCCGTTGTGAGACACGAATGCAAAAGCTCCCGCTTGGCCTTGGTCAGCTCGGGGAGGTTTTGAAAACGTAGCCTCTGGATCTTGTGTTTGTGTTTTTTGCTGAGATCCCATGAACCAATCACGTGTCCTCCAGCTCCGGGAATGCGGAACATGCCATCTCCCTCGGAGAACATGACCCGGGAGGAGAAGAAACATGGGTTTGCGACTCTGATGTTGGTCCACTCACTCTTAGCGGCGGCTGGCCTGCAGAAGCTGAGCTGAGGTCCCAAGAACTTGACAGCCACAACGCAGTCCTCATCACTCTCCGGACAAGATGAGGACAGTGACACGTTGGTGACGATTTGGGTTTGGCAACGTGGCAGAGTCACAAGAGGAGGCAGCGGGATGCGTTTCGGATCTGTCCCGGATGCAGCAGGGTTTAGGTCGTCTTGGAGACGGAGGATTCCGTCGTCCTTGAGTGTAGCTATCCAGCCGTGAGATGCCCCGATCGTTACCCTTGTTTCTCTAGACGTCAACTCAAGAGGCACCTTCTTTTCCAAGAGAGTGGATTTATATTCATTCGCATTAAAAATCTCGAGTCTTCCCATCTCCCCCTCTCCGCAAGCTTCAGCGCGGATGATGAGACAAGGAGTAGTCCAAGTTGAGAAGCCATTGGAGAAAACATGACCAAGAAGAGATGCTTTTCTTCTTACCCTCGACAGCCGCCGGCTGAGAAGAAGAGACATGAATAGGGATGCAAAAAAACATGAAACCCTAATCCAATATTTGCTCCATTAATAGAGAGCGAGGACTTGCCCACCAAGTAACTTTTCCAATCTTCAAAATAGCTATATTCCATAAACGTCATAAGTCCCATTAACTTTCTACTGTATCTATGCTTGGTGGGCAAGACACAGTCGGTGCCAATCAAAATCACCACTCCAAACCGAACCAAACCACTTTGTTAAGCGTTTGCTGTTCAATTACATTTTATCACATTTGTATCAAAAGGAAAAGGAAAAAAACTTTTATTATTGAATAACCTAGCTTCTTTTGACTTGTAATTTACACCACGCCCAAACCCACGTGTCGATCTATAAATGGCGTAATACATACGGTTTATGCTACTCACGATTCCTATTTAAGACGTGCTAAATAAACTCTAGTCATATAACTTTATCCTTCTAACTTCTTTCCTATATAAATAAATAAACTTCGATTTAGTTCTTTAATTCATTTCCGTTTAAAGATGTTTATAGCTTTAGTTCTTTTGGGAGCTCGAAGACGAAAACTCTGTCTACTCTCTCTAATCGTAAATGAGAAAATTCAATATATTTTAGGTGATTAACATAAGCATGTACCGATTCTACAACAATGAATCAAATGAATTCGCCTACATGGGGCTTGGGTTCGGGGACAAAGCAAATAGAGAGCGAGAGGTGTCAAGAGGAAAAGAAAATGATTTTTAGAAAGAAAAAAATGTGAATTTTAGAGGAATATATTTTCCTATCTTTTCCTCATGAGCTAGTTGAGAATTTAATTGTTTCTCTTTTCTCTCTAGTTAACCTTCTTTTCTGATTTTTGGCAAAATAAAATTGAAACAAAAAAAAGAAAGAAGAAGAAGATGAAATCCTTATATTTGATTGGTGAAAACAAAATTGCATTTAGAGTAAAAACTCATTGCTACTGAAAATGTACTTCAGTTTGTAGTAAACAAACCAGTCAAAGTCTAAATAGTGCTGCATGAATCTTTGTAATGGTCACTATTCGTAGAATAGCAAGTTCAATGATAAACATTGACTAGAAAAAATTGTATGATTAATAGTTCTTTCATCGCGTCCGTGAATCTAATATTGGGCCGAGAAAACATAATGGACCTCTAATTTGCAGAACCGTTTTATTTAATAAATAACCATTCTTCTTTTCCCTCTTAAAACTTGTAGTGATATTTTAATTTGATTTGAGCATGTACCAAATAGGTCTGAAAAGAAGAACCTTTAGACTTGGAGTATATCATAACGAAAAAGTAAAGAGGTTTATCAAAACGCAACGTGGGATCAAGTAACGTGTAGCAAAACTAGGACATGTAAATTTTATGATCTTCTCCCACAAAAAAAAATGAATAGAGTATTTTCATTTGGTTGTAAAGTAATTATAAACAAAAAATATTTATAATAACGAAAAAACTAAAGAGGTTAACGTGTAACACAACTAGGACATGTAAATGAAAACCAAAACATATGAACATCTATTACAAATTTTATGATCTTCTCCCACAAAAGAAAAAATGAATAGAGTATTTCCATTTGGTTGGACAGTAATTAGAAACAAAAAATATTTATGAGACACATATATAAAGACTAACATAGTGTTACTTAAATGAAGGTTTACTGATCAAATCAAGGTTTACACATGAATATTTGGAAAAAAAAAAAGTTTACACAAACATTAAATAACGGGAAAATGGTCAATAAAATACACAATTATTATGTTTTTACCAAAAAAGTACAAATTTGTTAGTAAGGATTAAAAATGTTATAAGAATCTCTCTAATTATAGGCATACATACCTTTGAAGCAGCCCTTGTAGTAGAAAAGGACTGAAGATTGGTTTTCTTTGAATGAAGAATATAACGAATGAAGAAAACCCTAATGTGAATACCATAAATAGTCAATATCACGTTACATAAGGTATAACCAGAAAAATTACATAGGATGGTCAAAATGTAAACAGAGATAAATTACCAAAGGTTTAATCTAATCGACACGCTTTTGTTTTGGATCATAAAAAAATAGATAAATTGTATAAGGCTTCATCTTTTAGATGCTTCAGCCATCACAGGTGTCACACTGACACACTTCATGCAAAAACATTATCTTATGCAACACAAGATTTAATTTCTCTGAGCAAATGGTTATCAGGACAAGGGATCTATTAGTGAGGACCTATAAAGATAGCAATAGGCGTAGGTACCTTTGAAGCAGTCCTTGTAGTAGAAAAGGACTGAAGATTGGTTTTTTTTCTGTTGAAATGCCAGGATAAATTTTAGGGTTTATGACTGAAGAAGTTGCTTGGACATGCATCAAACCAAAATATATTCAAATTAACCAATAAATTAATATGTCAATTTTTTAGATAAAATTTTGAGATTTATGGGGCTTAATCGATGATATTTAGGTGATTGGGAACAAATGGGACTCACATACCTTGACCTTCTCCAGGCTCAGTACTCTAAAGGGTAAGCGATTGTAGTGCTCCTTAAATTTGATTACTCTGGTTTTAACTTAAAAGACTCATATGGATGGATGGATATGAGATTTTGTATGGTTTCTGACATCTTATGTTGAAAAGACGATAAAGTGAAGTATGAAATTAGTATGATGGTGTTTATGGTTTTGGTGTTCTTGTATAGTCGAATGGATTGCATTTTGGTTTATATGATCATCTTGCTTTATTTGTTCGTTTGAACTGTATGATCATCTTTGCTCGGCATAGGCAAAGATCTCCTCCATCGTGAAAAACTTATGTTAACTAGGCCATTTTCAGATATACACCTTTTTAGTCACATGGCTAAATCATTGTTCACACGAAATCACATGCTAGTCATATTTATTAATAACATCATGCGATGTGTATTCTCTGTCACTCTACTGTTTATTTGATTTTGTTTATATAAAGTTATAAACTATACCATATACCCATGCAAGCATGAAATATTACTAAAATCTAGCTAGTATCATATATATATATATATATTTTTTTTTTTTTGATTTTTCTCTAGGTAATTTTGTTTGTTTGTTAACTATGGAAATATAATAGATGATCAGAAGTAATCTCATGGCCTATAGTAATATAATAGATAATCCAACATAGCAACCACAATATTAAAGATTCAAGAACCGAAGATGCATTTCTATAAACAGAGCCTTTTCTTGGAATATTTTTTAAAAACTTTAGTTCATATCTTCTTTCCAGTGAATAAATTCTTGCTTCTACAATTTTCACGTACACACGTGTGTGTACTACTCTGTAATTTGCTAGAAAAATAGTATTGCTCTGTTTCTGTATGTTTTAAACGACAGCGTTTTGCGCTCTAACGGCGCCGTTTCATGATGACTCGAGAGTTTATTTCCGTCTTCCTCGCGCGTCAATGATTGAGAATTGAGCCGAATCATCATCGTCTCAGAAATTCACAGAGAAAAACCTAAAATAAATCTCGAAATTCGAAGTCGATTCTTCCATTATCAGATCGAATTTCATTCCCAGCGAATTGCTTCAAGGTAGAATCAGATTACTAAGATCGAAGGAGGGCCATTGATGATGCTCCGGCGTCATCCGCTCCAACCGGTGATGGTGCTGCTTCTTCCTCCCATGACCCTAAATCTCGTTGGACGTCAAGCAACAACGATGGTGGAAGCAGTAAGAATAACAACAACAATAATAGCAATAGCAAGCCGACGACTGGTGGTGGCCAGAAAAACGCCGATCCGAAACTGCCCAAGCCGAATCCTTCTCCGGTACCGAACCAATCCCATCCGAATCACCCCAATCCAACAGCTCAATCTTCACGCCCCGCGCCAGGTTCTGCTTCTTATCCATTCCCAGATTCGTCGGGACGAGAGAGGTGAGATGCTGAGGCAAAGACAGCAGTTTATGCATTACGCGAATCCTAATAATGATCAGTCGCTTATGGCGGGGACGAGTAGTCCGTTCCGGCGAGATGTTGGAGAAGATGCCAGAGCAGCTAAGCATATGCGGGTAGGGTCAAGTAGACATGAGCATGGAGGTCAGGAGCCTAAGCATTTCCAGGTCAATGACCAGGCTGCGATAAAGAAGTCGTTTTTGGATTTTGTTAAGCGAATTTATGAGGACCCGTCGGAGAAGAGGAACTACTTGGAGAACGCGAGTAAAGGCCGGCTTCAGTGTCTCGTCTGTGGCAGGTTTCAATCTTTTTCTTGTGTTTGCTTTTTGCTTAGGTGCAGTTTGCTTGTGTTGGAGACTCTTATTGACTTGTTCTTGGTGGTTGCTTTAGTTGGTCAATTGCGTCTTAGATGGCTAAATGAACATGACGAAAGTAAGAGAGAATAGAAAACTACCTGGAATATTTTGTTACTTTCGGTTTGATTAGTATGTTAAATTGTGTCTTCAATTGTGCTTTAGTGTTTCTTGTTTTGAGAGCAAATTGTGTACTATTCCTGATTAGCTTAACGTTGTTTGCTTCCATTCATATTGTTCCTTGTTTACCATATGTTTAACATTACCATGATCTGGGTAAATTCCCTACCGAAAAGCCTCTTAGATTATTCAACTCAGCGATATTACTTTGATATTAGGTGTTATTCAACTTACTTCTCGTTCTTTGCACCTGCTACTACTACCTTGACTGCTCTTTTGCTGCCTTTCAAGCAGTAAAAGTTTGCGAGTTTTCTTACTGCAGCCTGGCTTAAATTCATTTTAAACCTTATGATATTAACTGTATGATTCTGATTTCCCTTAGTTTTAAACCTTAGACTACTGTATGCATAATTTGTGTGGTGAATCTGAATGAGTGTTTCCAATTCGACTTATGCTAAAACACAGGTGTCCTAAAGACGTCCAGGATACACATGGTTTGGTAATGCACGCATACTGTTCTGAGGATGCTAGCTCACGCGTGCATCACTTAGGCCTACACAGAGCCCTCTGTGTACTGATGGGATGGAATTTCTCAAAGGCTCCTGATAATTCAAAGGCGTACCAGAATCTA